TGCAGTGAGTGGTGTTAGTATGGTCCACCTGCAGTGAGTGGTGTTAGTATGGTCCACCTGCAGTGAGTGGTGTTAGTATGGTCCACTTGCAGTGAGTGGTGTTAGTATGGTCCACCTGCAGTGAGTGGTGTTAGTGTGGTCCACCTACAGTGAGTGGTGTTAGTATGGTCCACCTGCAGTGAGTGGTGTTAGTATGGTCCACCTGCAGTGAGTGGTGTTAGTGCGCGCCAACTGCACTATCTATAGTCCATGAATCTATCGAGCCTCATCTTCCTCGGGAATGCAAGTTTAGTTTCTTTAATCTATCCTGATATGGAAGGTTTCTAAGTCCCGGAATCATTTTCGCCATTCTTCACTGCACCTACTCCATTCTATAATAAGGGCACCAGAACTGCGCAGCATAATCGAGGTGCGGCCTGACTAGCGCAAGATATAATTTCAATATGACCTCCACACTCTCATTACTTACACTTGTAGATATAAAACCTAATACTCTGTTTGCCTTATTTCGAACATTAACGCACTATTTTCTAGGCCAAAGGTCCGGGCTTACAAGTACCCCGAAGTCTCTTTCACAAGTCGATTTCCCTAGGTTGATGTTGGTACGGCTGTATACATAGACAGTATATTGTTCTTCCAATATTAAGTACGCTGCACAGAGCTGGTGTTGAATATCATTTGCATCCTGCCCTGAATTAATCTACTGCCCTATTTTGGTGTCATCCACAAACTTGCTATGTCATTGCTGATTCCAGTATCTAGATCGTTTATGTAGATTATGAACAAGAGTGGGCCCAGTACTGACCCCTGGGGAATCCCACTAGTTACACAGCCCCACTCAGATTTAACACCATCTACGCTGACCCTGTGTTCTATCGGTGAGCCATGATTTTATCCAATTTAAAATTTTCCCCTCGATACCATGAGCGTTAACTTTTCTTAGAAGCCTCCGATGCGGTACTCTGTCAAATGCTTTGCTAAATTCTAAGTAAATAACATCGTAAATTTCGTCAATATCTACTACGTCATAGACTTTCCTAAAAAACGTCAGCAGATTTGTTAGAAAAGATTTTCCATTTGTAAATCCATTTTGAGAGTCGTAGATTAATTTGTTTTTCTCTAAATGCGATCGGATGTTATTTGCTGTAATTGATTCAAGAAATTTCCCCCACTACTGACGTCAAACTAATCTGTCGGGAATTTGATGCTGATGATCTGTCTCCCTTTTTGAGTATGGGTACTACATTTGCCTGTTTCACACAAGTCTGGCACAACTCCTGTGTCTAATGATTTTGTAAATAAATTTACGAGGGGTCCGCTAATCTGTTCTTTCAAGACTCGAGGGAAAATTTCATCCGGCCCTGGGGATTTTGTCTTTAATTTATTTATCTTCTTAAGAACATCCTCTTTTCTGATAGTGATATCCTTTAGTTTCTCTTCTTTCCCCTAAATATCAGTTCCACCTCTGGCGTTTCCTCGTGAATTTCTTCTGTGAAAACTGATAAGTAGCTGTTTAATGCTTTACTTATTTTAATGTTTTGCATACTAACATCGTTACTAGTCACTACTATCTCGCTTAATTTATTTTGTCCACTATCTCTGTATACATATCGGTGCCTCGGGTATCATGTTTAAAATTTCGGTGGTGAAAACTGTTGAAAAATATTTATTCAGATTATTGCTCATTTCTCCGTCGTTATCAGTTAGTTCGCCAGTATCTGACTGTATTCGACCAATCATTTCTCGTGTTTTAGTTTGAGACATTTGATAGAATCCCTTGGGGTTTGACTTCGCCTCCTGAGGAGGACATTTTAGGTCAGTTGCAGGACCATCAGCACCTGCTCCAGCCGCTCCCACGGACTGACTTCACTAGACTGGTGGACGGAAGCTACCTGACGGAGCGCATAGTTCCTGCAGATGTGTCAGCCGTCATAAAAGGGTTTAAAAACAAATCACCTGGTCAAAGTCACATTAACAAGAAGATCCTGGCTCAACTCCCCGACAACATGATAGAGAGGCTTGCTCATATATGCAACGCCTGCCTCGCCTCTGCATACTTCCCTAAAATGTTCAAAATCGCCGTTATTTGTCTCATACCAAAAGCAAGGAAGCCTCCAAACAAAGTCGAAAACTTTCGACCAATATCGCTGCTAGATGTACCTGCCAAAATCTTCGAAAAAATAGTCAACAAGCGGTTGTGGATGTATCTGGAGGACGAAGACGTGCATAATCCCCGCCAGTTCGGCTTCCGCCAGTACCGAGGCACATCCACCGCCATAGCTCAGGCCTACGAGCAGATCGCCAATGCCATGACTGGCCGCCTGCAGTGCAATATAGTACTGAGGGACGTCAGCAATGCGTTTGACAAAGTTTGGCACGCGGGGCTGCAGTATAAGATCATGCAACTGGGGCTACCCGAAAACCTGACGCGCCTGCTGTGCAACTTCAATACGGGCCGCAGAGCCAAAATCAAGATGCAAGAACATTGTGGAGAAGAATTCTCACTCTAGAGCGGCGTGCCTCAGGGCTCTTGTCTCTCACCAACCCTTTACACACTCTACACGGCTGACCTGCCACCCCCAATCGTCGGCAGCGAGTACGTCATGTATGCCGACGATGTAACACAGATCGTCACCTGCCCAGGAAGGTCCACGGCAAGGATGGCGCGACTCACTGCTCGGGCAATAAAGGAGATCTCGGAGTATGAAAATAAATGGAAAATAAAAACAAACAAAACGAAATTTGAGGTCATACCCATAGCCAAATTCAAGCCGGCGCCATTGATGATCGACGACGAAGAGATTGAGTACTCTAAACAAGGCAGGTTGCTCGGCCTAACCTAACCTAACTATATTGTGTTTTAGGATTATTAGTATTTTAATGGAAGGTTTTAATAGGATTCATCAATATTTTGGTTGTTCATTTTCTTTAATAAATCTCACTTTTTATTTTATGATATTCGTGTTTAGGATTTTTTACCCCCAAATATTCTTCATAACACTTACATTTTTTCCCACAGATCTTGAAAACCAATGACGATTAATATCTCATGATGGGAAGGGAGGGAGGGCTGGGAAGCGGGATGGGAAAGGGGATGGGAATGGGAGGGAAGGACAATAGAGGGAGGGAGTGATGGAAGTAGGACGGGAGGGAGGAAAGAAGCTGGGAAGTAGGAATAGGAAGTAGGAGGAAGGTAGGAAGGACTGAGTAGGGAAGGTGATAGTAATAGGGGGAGGGCTGGGGAGGGTGGTAGGGAGGTAGGGGAGGTTGGCCTAGAAAGGGAGGAAGGTATATAGGGAGGGAGAGAGGTAGGAATGTCTGGGTAGGGAGGGAGGGATGGAAAGAGGGAGGTTAGGAGGTAGGGCTAAGGATGAAGGGGGGCGAGGATATAAAGAAAAAAGAGATGGGTGGAAAGGATAGAAGAAGGAAGGAGGGAGTGAAGAAAGAATGGGTATAATGAAGGAGGGAGGGGAGAGAAGAAGGAAGGGGAGGAAAGAGGGAAGAAAAAGGAAGGGAGGTATGGAGGGAGGGAGGGTTTCCGGTAAGAGAGGAACTCCAAAAGCCGCTGGTTCGAAACGCTTCGATTCGCGTGAAGCCGGATGTGAGGTATGAAGAATGCATGTGTGGCTCACTGAACTGAAACACTACAAACATATTAATGAAGCTTCGATCCTCACCGGTATCCTGTGCAAGTTAAAATATGGCACTACTCAACAAGCGACCAGGTCGAAGCGCTTCAGGATCGTGCTCGTGTGAAGTCAAATGTAAAATAAGAAAAACACTACATTGATGTATACATTAGCGGTTCGCGACGCTTCGACTCGCGTGTATTTGAATATGAGAACCATGAAAACATGAATCAGCGGTTAGAAACGCATCGAATCTCTTTACAGTCGACTGTAAAACAAATGAAAATTGTTTTGGCGATGTGTTGTGGTCAGGTCGCTGGTAAACATGATAATGAATAAACATTTTTATCTTCCTCTTAAATGAAATAAACAGACACCAGTTTGCTCTCGGCCCAACTTGTCGTAAACAAGGTAATGAATGACCCAATGTTTTCAGTGTCCCTTGTTTTTGTTACGTTCTGTGAATGAGTTAAAGAGCGAGGTGGTGAGCCGTCAGACCCGCATGTGGGAGGCCGCCAGAACCCGCGTGTGGGAGGAAGGGGGGGGGGGAGGTTGAGCCGCCGAATCCGCGTGTGGTGGTGGTGAGCCGGACCAGCGTGTGGGAGGAAGGGGTGGGTTGAGCCGCCGAATCCGCGTGTGGTGGTGGTGAGCTGCCGGACCAGCGTGTGGGAGGAAGGGGGGTTGAGCCGCCCGCCGACCAGCGTGGGAGGCCGCCAGAACCCGCGTGGGAGGAAGGGGGGAACGAGCCGCCGAATCCGCGTGTGGTGGTGGTGAGCCGCCGGACCAGGCGTGTGGGAGGCCGCCAGAACCCGCGTGTGGGAGGAATGGGGGGGGTTGATGCCGAATCTGCGTGTGGTGGTGGTGAGCCGCTGGACCAGCGTGTGGGAGGCGGTGTGGTGGGGTAGTGAGCTGCGGACCCGTGTGGGGAGGCGGTGTGGTGGTGGTGGTGGTGGTGGTGGTGAGCCGCCGGACCTGCGTGTGGGAGGCGGTGTGGTGGTGGTGGTGGTGGTGAGCCGCCGGACCCGCGTGTGGGAGGCGGTGTGGTGGTGGTGGTGAGCCGCCGGACCCGCGTGTGGGAGGCGGTGTGGTGGTGGTGGTGAGCCGCCGGACCCGCGTGTGGGAGGCCAATATGCATCTCCGATTAAAATGTAAACTGTGAGGTCGACCAAGCGTGAAATATGTTGTTTGTATCAGTGAGACCTGAACATGGAGGCTTTCGTTTAGTCTGTGGTCTAGTCTGGTCTGGTCTGTGGTCTGGTCTGGTCTGTAGTCTGGTCTGGTCTGTGGTCTGGTCTGGTCTGTGGTCTGGTCTGGTCTGTAGTCTGTCTGGCTGTGGTCTGGTCTGGTCTGTGGTCTGGTCTGGCTTATGGTCTATTCTGATCTGTGGGCTGTTCTGTGGTCCTGTGGCCTCTTCATGGTCTGGTCTGGTCTGCTCTGTGGTCTATTCTGTCGTGGTCTGGCTGTGGTCTGGTATGGTCTGGCCTGGTCTGGTCTGGTCTGTGGTCTGGTGCTCTGGCTCTGATCTGTGGTCTGTTCCTGGTCTGTGATCTGGTCTGGTCTGTGGTCTGTCTGGTCTCTGGTCTGGCCTGCTCTGGTCTGCTCTGTGGCTCTGGTCTGTGATCTGGTCTCATCTGTGGTCTGTTCTGCCTCTGATCTGGATCTGTCTTGGTTTGTGATCTGGTCTGGTCTGTGGTCTGTTCTGCTCTCTGTGGTCTGTGGCCTTCTGATCTGTGGTCTGTGGCCTGGCTCTGGTGCTGTGGTCTCTTCTGGCTTGTGGCCTGGTTCGGTCTGTGGTCTGTGCTGGCTCTGGCCTGCTGGTGTGGCCCGTGGTCTGTTCCGCTTTGTGGCCTGGTGTGGTCTGTGGTCTGTTCTGCTCTGAGGCCTGGTCTGGTCTGTGGTATGTTTTGATCTGTGACTTGGTCTGGTCTGTGGTCTGTTCTGGTCTGTGGTCTGGTCTGGTCTGTGGTGTGTCCTGGTCTGTGGCCTGGTCTGGTCTGTGGTCTGGGTCTGGCTGGTCTGTGGTGTGTCCTGGTCTGGTCTGGTCAGGTCTGGTCTGTGGCCTGGTCTGTGGCCTGGTCTGGTCTGTGGTCTGGTCTGTGGTCTGGTCTGGTCTGTGGTCTGTTCTGGTCTGTGGCCTGGTCTGTGGTCTGGTCTGTGCCCAGAGGAGTCCCGAAGGTGTCCCCACCCCCTCCATCCGTGTAATCCCCGTCATTAAAAACACATACTTTTTTCTATACGTGGCCACGGTTTTTATGACAGAATATTTAAGGCCATACTCCCGAGAATACTCTTGAACATTTAAACTGAGGGTAGTGAGGTGGTGTCCAAAGTAGGAGGATGTAATAGTGTAATCTCTGATCATGGGCAGTAGACGACGGTAAAACACGGTGACATAATAGATTTTACTTTGAAGTTTTTATTGAAGTGAATATATATGAAAATTCTACTTTACAAGGAAAACTCAAAAGAAAAAAATTAATAACTACAACTGAAAACCAAAAACAGACATTAAAATAGTTATGTAAATATGAGGTGAACAGCTGTCTGACCCGGCATTAGCGGTGTGGAAGAAACAGGGTGAGACGATCACCTTAGGGTATAACAAAGACAAGGAGCAGATGGTGTGACAACTATAGATCATATGAGAGACAAAGAGTTTTTTCTTTCTCCTGAAGTAATTGTGCTATCATTCTTCACCACAGTTTTTAACATAGAGAACTGAAATTTGGTATTATTATTATTATTATTATTATTATTATTATTATTATTATTATTATTATTATTATTATTATTATTATTATTATTATTATTATTATTATTATTATTTATCAAATTATATATATTTTTGGCACGTGCAACTTAAATTGATAAATGTGAAGATCGTTAGTAAGTTAATGAAGATATTAGCCAAAGCAATAGACTTCGCGAAGGTTCCAGTAATAAAAAAAAAATAATAATAATAATAAATTTTCATCCGATCTTATACATATTTTCCTCTACTAATAAACTGTGGTTGTGTTTATCTATTTTTTACTTTATTTTACTAGTGTGATACAGCTTGGAACTCTGAACCTAATTCGCAGTTAGTTTATGATCTAACCGACCTATTTTAACGTGATATAACCTACCCTAACCTAACAAAAAATAACCTAAACTGACCTCACCCAACCCAACCCAACCCAACCTAAACTAACACAACTAACTTATATTTGGGTGATACGAGAGATAAATTCTTCCTGATCACATGCACAAGGGGAGGGGGTGGGGGGGATTTTAAGCCAAATCTCAAAAGGTGATACTCAGTTACACATGCCCCCTCCCACACCCCCACCCCCCCCCCGTCCCCTTAGCTCATCCAGTACACTTCTATGGTGGGGGTCTAGATAATTGTATTGAATTTAATCTATCATACACAACTCATAGCTCTGATGTTGTCACTGATCTTATGTCTGATCACAACCCAATCCAAGCTTGTATCCATGTAGCCAATGACACCCCCACTGGTGGTAAACTCAACAGACGTAGACTCACAGTCAAGCAAGAACACGAAAGCCAGTCAATAGACTTCTTCAACGACTGGTAAAAGGATTACAAGCCTGACAACTACCAACGTCTCCATGACGATCTTGTAGATAGGACTTATACTTTCTTCGTCAACAATGAGGAGAAAATGCTGTCAGCATTATAGAAACGATTACATTCCACTTGGACGATTCCCACTTGCATGATCGTCTGTTTTATGCTATTTAACGTAACCTAATCTAACCTAATCCAACCTAGCCTGACCTAACCTAACCTAATCTGATCATTTAAATAAGATGGTAAAAATCGCATAAAACAGACGATCGTCCGAGTGGGAATCGTCCAAGTGGAATGACACCAATAGAAACAGTCTACAGCAGTGTTATGATGACCTCAGACTCAAAGAACTTCATTTTATAGCCAGACAGACTGGTGAGGGTTACAACCACCTCAAAACACCTCAAATGCTCAAACTGTTTCAAGCTTCCCTCGCTGTTGTCCGGGAGCTTGTGAAAGAACTTAGACAAATGCATGGGAAAATAAGTTCAACATCCTAAACCAACACACTCTCCTAAGCAAAGCCTAGACAGATATAAACACAATCAGAGGTAAAAATAGTTGACACGTCTCCCATCCAAACCCTCTGCAGAAATCGAATGAGCTAATAACAACATTGGCTCATGTATCTAGCTGTGACATGTTACCAGCTAGGACTCGAGAACTCCTTGATGCGAAGTCTGTAGAGAAAAGTGATCTTATTAACTTTATGTTGGGCAAACAGCACGATGAGTGTGATGTTCCAACTGCCATGCACAGGTTAACCAGCCTATTGCCGACTATTTATTTTCTTATGTTCTTATGTTCTTAAATAGACACACTAAAGCCTAGTAAGTCACCAGGTACCGATGAGATATTTGCCAGAGTAATTAAGGCATGTAAGGAAGAGCATAGTATGCCCTTAGCAAAGTTGTTTAACATGTCTTTAAATACAGATGTAGTACCAGAATCCTGGAGGATAGCGAATGTTGTACCGATTTTCATGAAGGGAGATAGATCACTATCCTCTAACTACCGTCCAATCAGTCTAACATCAATTGTAGGCAAATTACTGGAAGCAATCATTTCAAACTCTATTCGAAATCACCTGGAGAAGCACAAGTTGATCAATGATTCCCAACATGGCTTCACAAGCGGGCGATCATGTCTATCTAATCTATTAACATTCTTTTCATCAGTTTTCGAATCAGTGGACGAGGGGCACTTTAGCAAAGCCTTCGACAGAGTCCCCCACGACAGACTGATAAGAAAAGTGGAGGCTCATGGCATTAAAGGAGATATTCTAAAATGGATTATGGCGTAGTTACAGGACAGGAAACAGCGTATGAGCATTAACGGCACTAAATCCCATTGGAGCAACGTCACTAGTGGAGTTCCCGAAGGCTCAGTACTCGGACCATAGATATAGGCGTAGACAGCAACATTAGTAAATTTGCTGATGAGACTAAAATAGGGCGTGTATTTAAATCTGACGAGGACTCCACAAAAATTACAGGAAGATCTAAAAAAAAAAATTCGAATGATGAAAAATGGTAGATGAAATTCATTGTGGACAAATTAAAAGTACTTAGTATAGGAGATGTAAACAAGGAAACCAGATACCAGATGAACAACGATGTTTTTGAGAAATCCAAGTGCGAGAAAGATTTAGGAGTACAGTAATGATAAATGGGAATCTTAGGCCAAGTAAACAATGTGTATTTGCTCGAAACAAGGCTAATAAAGTACTTGAATTCATACAAAGGAGTATTAGTTACAAGACTAGCGAGGTCATCCTAAAACTTGGATTACGCAGTTCAATTCTGGTCACCGTATTACAGAATGGATATAGAATCCTTAGAAAGATATCAGAGGGGAATGACAAGACTAATCCCGGGCATTAGGAACCTTGAGTACAGATACAGGTTAAAGCATCTTAATTTGCACCCCCTCGAGAGACGTAGAGTGAGGGGCGATATGATGGAGGTGTATAAATGGAAGTCAGGGCTAAACAAAGGGGACATTACATATGTACTCAAACTACCCAACCAGGAGCGAACTCGTAACAATGGTTTTAAATTAGACAAATTTAGATTTAGGCGAGAAATGGGTAAGCATTGCTTCAAACATAGGTTGGATGGATATATGAGTGACAGGGGTTGGGTGTAAATGGGACTGCCCAGTATGGGCCAAGAGGGCATTTCCTCCATTCTTATGTGTTTATGTTCTAATAATATCCTGACCACGGGGGTTAGTTGTTATCTCTGCTCTGTAATCCTTTTGTGGTACCACTCACAAAATGAGTATGGGGTGCACAATAAACTAACCGCTGTAAGTGGCAAAACTGAAAATTAAATTAATTGCATACACACACACACACACACACACACACCAGCGACATACAAATGTACACACAGTTCACATACCTACACGTGCAGGTAAACAGACCAGTTCATTAAGAATGCTATATTGCTATAAGTTCCTTGACTTGATATAGGTATAATTAAACGCCTACTCCTGCACACCTGTTGTCCCTTCCACACACCTGACGTTACTCCTGCACACCTGTTGTCCCTCCCACACACCTCCCGTTACTCCTGCACACCTGTTGTCCCTTTCACACACTTGACGTTACTTCTGCACACCTGTTGTCCCTCCCACACACCTGCCGTTACTCCTGCACACCTGTTGTCCCTCCCACACACCTGCCGTTACTCCTGCACACCTGTTGTCCCTTCCACACACGTTACTGCACACCTGTTGTCCCTTCCACTGCCTGCACACCTGTTGTCCCTTCCACACACCTGCAGTTACTCCTGCACACCTGTTGTCCCTTCCACACACCTGCCGTTACTTCGCACACCTGTTGTCCCTTCCACACACCTGACGTTACTCCTTCAAACCTGTTGTCACTTCCACACACCTGACGTTACTCCTGCACACCTGTTGTCCCTTTCACACACTTGACGTTACTTCTGCACACCTGTTGTCCCTCCCACACACCTGCCGTTACTCCTGCACACCTGTTGTACCTCCCACACACCTGCCGTTACTCCTGTATATCTGTTGTCCCCCTACACACCTGCCATAACCCCTACACACTTGCCATCACCCCTACATACCTACCATCACCCCTACACACCTGCTATCCCCTGTACACATCTGCCGTTACTTATGCACACCTGTTTTCACCCCTACAGCTGCCATCACCCTTGCGCACTTGCCATCACCCCTACACACCTGCCATTCCCTCTACACTTCTGTCGTTACTTCTGCACACCTGTTGTTACCCCTACACACATGCCATCACCCCTTCACACCTATCGTTATTCCTGCACCTCCGCTGCCCCCTACACACTTGCCATCACCCCTACACACCTGCCATCACCCCACACCTGCCATCGCTCCAACACAAGCCTGTTTTCCCCTACACACCTACCATCACCTATATACACCTGCTGTCACTCCTACACTCCTGCCATCACCCCTACACATCTGCCATCACCCTTATACACCTGCTGTCACCCCTACACACTTGCCATCACCCCTACACACCTGCCATCACCCCAATACACCTGCTGTTGCTCCCTGCACAAGCCTGTTTTCCCCACACACCTACCATCACCCATA